GACTGGCAATGGACACAGATGGGAAAGCAACAGCTCTAGACAGGAAAGAGAATCAGATCCAAGAAACAGCTCAGGAAGATGCATCAGGAACTGGCAACAGAAGAAGGAGTAGGTTTGTGAGTTCTTGTCTCTTCAATAATTTGTGATCATAAAGCAAGAGATCTAAAAGGCACCTGTTGTTCACATCATCTGGCTTAGACACACTGCGCAGAAGAGTTTTTTGCAGTCTTCTCCAGTCTTAAAAAAGAGGATAGAAGGAAGCTCTGCTTGCAATAATGGGAACAAAGGTGGCTTCAGTGAAAATAAATTCCTCACCTAAGAATTTTTAGACAAACGACATTATTTTAAAGAGCACAAAATGTAAGATCCCTTCAGAAAGTAACAAAAACAGCAGAAATGTTAATAAGAAAAAAAAAAGTGCAGCTCCACCTGAATTGCAAAACAATTTTATTGTTGATTTTTTTATAACATCACTGCATAAGAGTTAAAATGTAACCCAGCTATGGAAACATGTGGCTTCAGATTAGATATGCTGTGCGTGTTGTAAAGCATCGATTACTTTATCAGTAACTAAGCTTTGCAGGAAAAAAACACTCTTGCTCCAGGACAAGCCCACGGAATATACCCTTATGGTGTTATTTAGGAACAGCTTCTCCACCATCAATGAGCAAACAATCCTTAAAAGACTGGAAACCTCTACCTAGAAACATGCAGTCAATAGTGATTATACAAGACCTTATGAAAGGGGAAGTAGTGGAGAAATAAATGAGATCGATATCATGATTCAGAAAGACCCACTTGGTTGCCTCAGAGAATCAGAACAAAGCAGATCTTCTGTGGCTCACCCTAATTGAAGTCTAAATTTAGAGAGTGGACAAAAGTCCAGCTGAACTGATTCGCATATTCAGAATGAAAGCAGAGGGTAAGGAGGAAGGAGAGAGAGAGAGAGAGAGAGAGAGAGAGAGGGGGGGGAAAAAAAAGAAGATGAAATAAAGAAAACAGCTCCACACAACAATTACATCCAGATATCAGAGGTACTATCTCCACCAGGGTAACGAATCTCATGAGCTAGAACAGGCCCATCAGGTTCCTTCCCAAAATCTACCAGGAAGTTTTTATTCACTTTCAATCCACCTCTTTCAGTATCCACATCAATCTGCAGCAAGAGAGAGCCTTCCCTGAAAAAGGGACAAGAAAATACACATTGGGAAAAGAACTCATATTTGTTTGTTGCTCTTCTCTTCCGTATATGGGCAGGATTGCTCTTCTTGAATATAGAAGGGAAATGAAAGCCAGATTCGAAATAGGCCTTAGCAGCTCTCCGAAGTGAGTTATACCACCTCAGTGAAATCTGCAACCTCAAATCAGCAATGAATGAGTGAAAATTAATAGATGTTGTTACTTATCAAGTAATGGGCAAGCTGCACTATGCCCTCCTGTGGCCATCTGGAAGATCATCTTCTGCTTTCTTTAATTCCAAAAAATAAACCATCATGCTGATACACTCAAGGGCAGTTTGGAAGCACTGTGGACTCCAGGAAGCTAGATCATGCTTAATGGTTTCTTCCTATTCTTACCTGCCTCCAAACAGATCATGATTTCAACCAACAATACCAAATAGTGTGTGCAGCCCCAGAGTTTTCTGTGCTTATTAAGTAAGGATAGATTCTGGCCAGCAGGTGATACCTCTAGGTTGGTGAACTGAGTATAATAAGTTACTGGAATCACTGTCCCTGGCTGGGAACTGGGCTATATCTGCCAGGTGGTATACATACATTACTGTTTCTAACAAGGAAATCTTGAACGTGGGCTTGTACAGCCCATCAAGTTTTCTTACTTGATGAGATCTGGGTAGAACTGCTTGTCCCAGCTGCTGTAGAGAGAGGAGGTGACATACAATCTCTTCCCATCCAAACTAAGCTGAATCATCTGAGGTCCACCTGGCATCTTCTTCCCCTAAAATTATAACTGGTAACAAGGTGTACAAGACAAGCTGCCGCAGAGGTCAAACAAAGGAAATGCAATAGCAAGGAAAAACAAAACAGCATGGCACTCCTGCTACTCAGAGGAACATTCAGCTCTCTGAAATCCTTGGTACAGGAGCCCCAAATACCCTATCTTGATGAGGAACAGGTTTTATTAGGAATCTTACCCTTATTAACAGGAAGCCTCAAAGCCAATTCAGATGAATTCTGCTTAATTCACAGAACTGGTAATGCCAGAAAATAAGGAATGAGGGGATCAGGTTACTGTACTTGGATGGAAGACTCAAAAATCAAGCTTAAGGTGGGTGGCATAACATTGCTGCAAACAAGGATATGTCTATACTGCAATTAGGTAACAACCCGCACTATATAAAAAAGGAGTATATGGAACCTCCTGGAGCTGTCTTGGGCGGCCAATGAATCTTACTCATGACCACATTCCGTTCTTGCATGTTCCATAAGACTTTCTGTAGGTTTAGTGCTTCAACTATCAAATCGTTGAAATATATCAGAAGGAACAATGGCAGTGTGATGAATGCACACTGTATCAGCTTTAAATTTGCCAGCTAACAACAGCAGGGAAGATGTAATTACACAGATTTCAGTACAGTTGAACAGCTTGTACAATTCCATCAGGGACCCAGAGCACTTACAAGGGTATACTAGCGCAAGTCCACACTAAAATGTGACACCTGCAGCCCAAGTTATAAGCCAAGACATAAGCTAGCTCAGATATGGCTATGCATGCTATACTCTCACCTTTGGCTGAGGTGTAGGCATATTTCAAAACAGATGGGAATTAGCAGAGCACTGACAAATTATAACGTGTGTCAGGAAACTTACTTTGATCACAAATGGCTCTGGCTGACACTGCAACTCCTGGTCTTCCACTACTGTTACAGGTCCACCTTTTGTGATACTGCCTCCCAGAAATACCTGTTACCAAGGAAATGATAACTCAGGATCTCTGGACGTCAAAGTAACATGAAAGCAATATAGTGACAACTCTCACTCAGGAGTAACTGTCAGACATTTCCTCCTTTAAGAAAAGAAGGAAATAAAAAGAACACTGTATTGCCCTTGTGCATAACAGCTTTTCTGATGCTGGCTTACCTGTCCTACCAGCTTGGGTTTGCGGGTGTTGGTGATATTGTACTGACGGATGTCTCCATGCAGCCAATTGCTGAAATACAGGAATCTGTCATCCAGCGAGATGAGAATATCAGTAATAAGACCTTCAAGAAAACATTCAGTAGAAGAGTCAGGAAATGGACAGGAGTAATGGCAAACAAGCTGCTGTATTTTTCAAAATTCTCATCATAGTAGTCTCAGAAAAGTATATTAAGATATGGGTTGGACAAACACAGTCACCCTTGGAAACCCAGCACCTGCTCAAAGGAGGTTCAGACTCTACCAGCATTCCCAGGACCATTCCTGAGCAGTGTGAGCTCATGCTGAAAGCCCAAAACTCAAAGTATTTTACTAGAGAGACTGACTTTAAGCACTGAGCAGCCAGCGTGGAAGCAGAGGCCTGCCAAGATCTCCTACTTGGCTAGTTTGGTTACATCAGAAGTGGTACACAGAGAACCCAAACAAAAACTTACTCTTTTACACAGGAAACATTTGATACTTAACGATTAGATTTTCCAAAAAGCTACAGTGCCCCAGGGAACTGAAGAGGAAAACACGTCATTTCTTCCCCAAACATTCTCACACTAACCGGGCATGTCAGGCAGAAGCCATCCCCTCACTTTCTTGCTGGGTACTTCAATTACCTTCTCTGCTGCCCAGTCTCCTTTCTATAGAAGGCACAGGAAAGAACACAGCACTATTATTGCCTTGATGCTAGCCAAGAGGGCTCAATTTTGCGTGACAGAAGTAGGGGAAGCAATTACTACCATGTATTTAACTGGCCCTGTATAGAGGTGATATATACACTACAATTAAGCGTTAACAAGGGGTGAGGATGGTAGGTATACAGCCAGTGAGAATGAACTGTGTTAATGATTACACTGTGAAACTACATCTCAAACAGACTGCTTTATCAGCAGCAGAATTAAAGAATGCTAGTCTCTTACAAATTTGTGTCCTATTTTTCTCCCACATTTCCTCTAAAACTGCAATAACTCTTACTCCCCTGTCCATGACCCCATCACTTTCTCTTCCCTCTTCTACCTTAAGGTCCTCCCTATGCTCCCAAATAACGGCTGAGTAAGAGGCAGTACTCATTGTCACTGGTAACAAGCTATACACTATGTTCTGATTAGCTGTCCAGTCCACATATTTTCGGCCAGCTTGCAGGCCAAAAAGAAAGCTTTTGAGGTAACGCTGCAGCCATTTCCTCCATGTGAGTACTAATCAGGGAGTCTCATGTTTACCTGAACATCAGTGTTCCCTATCATTGGCAAGAACTTTCACTCTTTGAGACTTTCATGATTCACCAATTTTGATTAAATTGGTCAACACGTTCCAAAGTTATTGAAGAGGGCAGGAGATTTGGGAGTAGGACTGACAGATCAGCCCCATAATTTGGATTTCTGAAACAACTAGGTTTTTATTTCTGTCATGGCTTTCATTACTTACCTCAGTCTTGTAGAAACGATGCACTGCACTACTCAGAGCACATCCAACAAACCCTTCCGCAGCATCTGGATTGTGGAGGAATCGAATTTCCAAAGGAATAGAATTCTTCCCTAAGTCAATTGACTGAATGTAGGTATGAGAGTTCCAGTCCCACACATTAATGTGGCGGCCATAATGCCCTAATAGGTCAGACCAAACAAAAATAAGCAAAGAAGAGATCATTATAACTTTAAAGAAAAATCACTTTTACTTTTGAAGTTTAAACAAACACTTCCTCACCTTTCTCTAAATCAGCTGGGTCAAACCCTCCTGCAAGGATTTTTGGGGTTCCCCACTCAGTGCTCATCAGGACGTTATGCCGTGGCTGATACCAGAAGTCGTAACCCATCGAGGGTACTTTTTCCCCCTTCTCCCAATTTCCCTTCACTTCAAAGGTCTCTCCATCCAGCAAAATAAAGCCACCTGATTTTAAAACAGAGATTCGCACACAGATTTTCAGCTTTAAATAATGTCAGTAATATATTAATATTGAAACATCTATTTCCCAAACATTCTGTAAATTGCTATCCCATGCTCCAAGGAAATTTTGCGATTCCTTTGGTATTGCTTTGGTGGACTAAATGAAATAAAAGTTGGATTTATAAAGGGAATTCCATGAACATTACCATCTTTTTTATGAATTTTCTAAGCTCCAGTTTTGCTCTATTTTTGCTTAACTCATTTCAGTAGATCCACTGACTCTCCTACAGTACATTTCAACTAAGGAG